TGTCAGTGACAGTACCATGCGCATATACCAAAGACTGTAGCAATCTCTTTCTTAATAAACCTTTTTGAATTTCACTCCCCATTCTGTTATCCTAACCATCTACTCTGACTTTTAGCACATCCTCTACTTCTTTATCCCATGTTTCTACGTTGAAAAACTGTTACAAATGTAACACTGTTTCCAAATCGTCGTGTGATAAAATCCTCTCAGGATTCAGCTACTCACAAACAACACACAGCACTCTAGTTTGAGAGTTGTAACCTCCCTTGATCAAGAAGTTGTTTTCACTTGAACTGTAAAAAACTTTGATGAGTGCCATTAAAAAAATCCACATCCAGGTTGAATAGTTAATACTGGTATGAACTTGATTAACTTGCTAACTGTCTAAATGACTGTGATGGACAATTGGAACTTACTTATTAACTAATGTTAAACGATCAAAGTCAGACAAATTCAAGCAACTAAAAACTTCTGATGAGCAGTGTCAAAATTGAAGTCATAAATAAAGTTTGTTTTGGGATAACAGGTTAACTATCCTTACCTGGGCACCCTGTGCTAGTCGAATACCCGTTCTGATACCACTTTGAATTTGACCCTATAAGCAGTTGAACTTATTAATTTGATACACTTAAAGTAATTGCATATAACTATATACAGATAGATGTATATCTACGAAAAAAAATCCAGAAAATATTTGAAAACCTGTGGATTATAGATGTTGGAATAAATGAAGACTAGTGGAGTAACAAAAAATTGTTTCTGAACAGTGAAGAATTTTGCCTGAAGTCCTTACCAAGTGCATAACTCCCTGAAGACCAACTACCTCAACAAGGCCATCACAATGACAAGCTGGAGCATAACCCTGAGCAGAAATTAGCGACAGGTTAAACAACGCATCACAGTGTTGCAGACCACTTCAGAGTAATGAAGTCTTAAATGGGGTAGGTCACCCAGTTTTAGCCATTTGCAGCTCTTATCAACTTATCAGAACAACTGAGATTTCACAATAATAGCTCAAAACTGTAGAGGAACTAAAACAAAAACATGAAAAACAAACAGGGGCAAAACTGGGGAACATTAAAATGGATTGCCTTGGGGTAAACTTGAAAAAAAACAGCCCAACTTTTTTCAAGTTTATCTCATTTTGTATATTTTAAAATTCAAGTGTTACAGTATTTTCTAATATATATATATATATAATTTCACTTTTGACCATTTTTATAGAAAAAGTGCAATATAAGTAATAAACAAAATAAAATAAAAAAACCTCCTTCGATATGGGGCCAATGACGGAGTCAGGTGCTGCATAGTCAATTTGAAATTTAGAACTCATATTTAAAAATGTGTACAGAGTTAAATAATTAAATACTGTGACCTTGCCCCTTTAATCAACAAGCAGCTAACTTTCAAGGTAGTACATACATGCACATGTACTTGTTTAGTCAAAGAGAGGAAAGAAACCATTTTAAATTTTTAGAGGATAATTTTATACAATGTCATGTATTGTCACTTACGTCATCTTTATCAGGTCCCCATGCATCAGTACCAGCTCCCCAGCTAACAAAACAACAACAATCAAATGAAATTTAAATACACAAAAACAAAAACAGCCAAAAATAACATATACTGTAAAAGGGATTTGAAAAAATTAATGTCCAGTTAAATTGTTTTAACACATGGGAGTCACCTGTTTAAAACAGGTCTGATTTTCTCCAATACATATTCACAAAAAAATAATTGCTTAAAATTCTCAAACAATTGGCTCACCTACTAATATTCAGAATAACAATTCCTTCCAATGTCGGTAAATCAAGTTTTTTACCATCAATCTAAAATTAGAACAGCACCAGATGATTACATTCAAAATGTTAAAATACATCATTGATTTCAGGGACTTAAATCAAACTGCCACAATTTTCATACATTTGGTGTATTTTTGTCCACCCTGACCTCGATTGGGCATCATTGTTTGTTGGAATGCGGGAAAGGTTTATTTCTTGCTAAAATCTACATGAGCAAGCACAAAAGCAGCTGGACAGTGTAGTCCGAGAGTCACACATGTCCAGTTGATAGAGAAACACTACACTTCCAGCCTGTAAAATTATGCTATAATTGGTGGACTGCTAACAATAAAATTGAAATTGCAATCCAAATAAGCAAGCTGCTGCGTAAAATAACCCACAGAACAAGATATGGGTAGACACATTGAATTACCTCTATTTCAACTTCATGAGAAAATGTCTTTGAATACCCTTTCACCATTTTCTTCAGTCCTGCTCTAAAATAAACACCTTTGTTATGAAGTCTGAAATGAGACAAAATATAAAATTACTGATTAAAATTATCTGACAATTACAATAAAATTAATAGTAAAGTAATCACTATAATAAAATACAACATAAAGTATGTGGAATGGTTGGTTATTTTTTGTTAAATAGCTACAGGTCAAGGGGAAATAAAAGTTTTGCACATTCAAAATAAACAGTTTGCCAGGCATACACTAGTGAGGTGTGTATCTTCACTAAAAATAATACTAAGGCCAGTATACAATAAAATTCTGACATACAACACAGTTAAGTATTAAAACAGTGAAATGGAAGCTGATTAAACCAAATATGAAATACCAAAAATACTCATCCAGTGTATAACCACGCAAAATATTGCCAATTTTGCAGCCAAAACGTGCTTTAACCCCTTGAGTGCCTATATGACGTACTCAGTACATCATGATTTTGGCTCCTCAGGTGCCTATATGACATACTGAGTACGCCAAAATTTTAAGACATTTAGTCAAATTCCCAGCACAGCGGAAACAATTTTTATCATCACATGAGACTCGTGGGAGATTTTTAAATAGACTTCAAAATTCCCATTTCTGTGACGTCATATGGATATCATATTGACCGCATTGAAGAGACACTTTTAAAACCTTTCAGAAAATGTGTACATGTCTGTTTAAGTGAAAGGGCTTATGGCATTTGAAGCTAGTTTTTTACTAGACACTGATTTTCAGTGAAAATGATGTGGCACACTCAGTACAGTTGTAATGGTCTGGCACTCAAGGGGTTAACACACCTCTTGTACAATGTTTAACAGTCTCCTGGGCTACATGAAATCAGAAAAAACACACATCACCAGAACCTTGATTGTTCCAAAACTGTAAAACTTCACAACTCACCTACTGTGAAACTTATCTGGAGCTTCTTCCCTCTGAAGATGAAAATCCAAACACAGCTCAGCACCAATTCCAATACCAAAATAATTATTCATGGTGAAAATACTCGGATCATCTTCCCTTCCACTAGTAGAACTGATACCACTATCATTTGACAGTGTGTCAGGGACCGTCATGTCCGGTGAATCAAACATCACACACCATCTGTCCAGGAAACCTTCCTGTGCCTGGTCGATAGCCATAAGGAGGGAAACAGGACTCTCCCCACCAGAATAACCTCCTCCCCACTGGAGAACACGTGAGAGATCATTACCTGTAAATTGGCAGTTTAGAAGTTTTTTAGTTCCATACTCGAAATATCAATTTTCATTAACCGATTCATGCATAAAATAACCTTTATTTCACTCCTAACAAAATTGGCAGTACATTGATCTATAAATTGTTACATTTGGCAGTACCGGTACTTTAGTCTATAAAGGTCTAATCATCATTGCAAAAATTCACCTGTGCCCAGAGGAAGAATAGCAGATGATGGCATCTTACACTTCAATTCCTGAAGGACGTCATCCAAACATGACAACACCCAACCAACTGTTCCATCACCACCACAGATTAATACACGAAAATCAGGAATCAACCTGAAAGCATAGAACCTAAACAGAAAGAGACAAAATGTTTGTTGTTACATACTCAATTATTATAGAGTTCTGACAGAACAAAACTAAAAGGAAAGGGTCCTATTCAATGTGGCATGTGGCAAAGTTGTTGATGCAGCCCTTAAACTAATAGTAAATTATTAAAAAAAATTGTGCAGGCATGATTGCTTTTGTGAATGGAACATACCCTGGTAGTGGACCTCCTTCTGTCAGACTATACACTTGATGAGGGTTGAGCAATCTCTGGAAGGCCGCTAGCATGTCGGCCCCCTGACCACCTCCACTTTTAGAGTTCACAAGCACAAGAAGTGGTTGACTGTTAGGGGGGAAAAGTTCAGGCTGTGGAGAGGGAGGGAGAGACAGGACAGATTCAACATGTGTCTCTTACTGTAAGCATAAGCCTAGGGAATTAAGAGCCCAAATTTTAACTCCTCTGAAATATGTTCCAAGTTTTTATTTCTCTAATTACCATTTGCATAAGACTCGTCTTATGTGACATTATAAAAATACAGATAGCAAAAATGAATGACCAAGTGCTAAGGGAAGACTTGGCACTGGTAGTTTTAATAATCAATTTGTATGTCCCTTCTTCAAAATTTAAGGAAATAGAGACTTGGTCTCTATTTTTTAAAAGAGGCACTTCCATTTTCTTTGAAACACTGCTCCATATTTTTGTGCCTGGGATGCTTAATTAAAGGGGATTCTCATTAACTATGGTAACATTTTAAGCTGTACTTGATGTTACTTACATGTATGTTAGGCAGGACTCTTACAAACAGATGCCTGCTGTCCACAGT